GGACTGGTAATGTGCCTTTTTTAGAGCTTAATTAGGCTAGTGTAGAGATAAATACCAGGAGCATTGGCAAGTTTCATAAGTAGTCCAGTCAACCTCCTGTACTTGATCACAGAAAGCTGCAGGGACTGTTATAGAATGTATAATACTCAGTTCTGCCCCAGCTTCCCCAGTGTCTGTGTGTGAGACTGGACAGTAATGGAAGGGAAAACTTCCCATTTGTCCAATAACAGTCTTTCAAACAGGAAAATACTTGCAAGAGGAGCAGAGACAGTAAACTCAGTGATGCAAACTGTATATCATCCACTGCAGCTCAACAATCAATCATAGGAGGCTGACAGAACTACAGAAAACATACATGGGAAAGAGCTAAATTTAACCCTTCCCAAAGCCTAAATAAAAAAAAATTTCCTTAGTCACAAATTCTCAAACTCTAAACCTGAAAATAAAACTCTAAAAACTAAACACCCAATACACCCCAATACTCAATCTTATACAACTATATTGCTAAACTTAATTCTAAACACCCCTGTAACCAAATACTAAATTGAACCCCACTCTAGTCTAGTCTAAAATTCAGTTAAAGCATATGGAAATATGCTTTAACTTATTTTTATGCCTTCAATGTCCATTTAATAAATTAACTAACCTCACTTTATCTGCATTTTCCTATATATATATATATATATTATAGTTATAGTTATATATATATACCTAGAGTCACGTAATATGTAAATCTCGCCCTGCACCATGGGGAGTCAGAAAAATCTGCTTGTTAGTCATCAATTGTGCTTTTTGAAGGCCAAAACAAAAATCAATATCAAACCAAATAAAAAACAAACATACATATATTTTATTAAGTATATTAAGTATTAAATCTTTTTTAGTTAATAATGAGTACATGTTTAAGTTAAAGAAATAAAGAAACAGCTTACTTGCAGAACAGGTGACACAAGTTCTGAATAATTTATTAACGAATGTTGTGTAGTAACCCTGTAGCTAATTGTAGCTTCAATTGGAAAAATATTGGAGGTATAAAATTGTGCTTATAAGGTTGCAATCTGTTTTATACCACACAGTGTACTTGGTTTACAGCAGAAGGAAGTTCTACGGGGGTGGAAAATTGTTATCTAGAACTCTTGGTCCAACTCAAACACAGCAACCTGAAATACAAGGCCAAGCCAACATTTGTTATCATACGCACAACATACGTAATCTCAATCTTTTATTTGTTGTATAATGGGCAGTTAATTGGTGATAGGCACTATTTTGAAGTCTGTGGAATGGGATGTCTGATGAACTTGAAGACTAAAATGGTCTACTGTGGAATAATCCAGTTTGCTGAACTGCAATGGTTGTTTCAAACCACGGTTGAAGCAATTTCTAACATTCCTCTCACCTCAACAGAAAAAAGTAATTGTTTTGATATATAATCAGCAAACCTCATATATTTCTGAAAAGGGTTACAATGTTATTTGTTACAGTATTTAACAAGATTTTATGCTTAATGTTACTAAATCATAAATGGTGATAAACCATCTGTCTCGATTCATTATAATTCATCATAATTTCACAATATTTTAAGCCCTCCCACTTGGAGCAACAGAGCAAACATTGTTTTACTTAAAATAGTATACAATGAGTTAACTACTTCAAAATTTTAGGGATTTTTAAAGCTGGTCCAATAACGACTTTTTTGGCTCTGAAGAATGGTTTTAAAAATTGTTGCACGTAAAAACCCAGAGAGTTCTATTACACAACTCTTAGAAATGTCACATATCCAGAATGTTCACAGTCACTTAGACAATCTGTCACTAGCTTGATAATTGTCAGTGTACCCTCCTCACACCAGCGTTAGTTTCTTGCTAGATGCAAAGCTGTTCACCATTTCAGCATCAAGAATGATGAGGAACATTCCTTCTGGCCCCATACTGATGATATAAGAAGCTAGGCGGCCTATATATACTTTAAGAGATTAGTGCCCTGTCGTGGTCTCTTGTAGCCCAAAAGTGCATTAGTATGTGTCATTTACTATTCTGATTTCTAACATTGGCTTGCATATTGACTAATATGATCTCTCCTATCATGACCTTGGCTTGCTTACTCATCCTTTGGGTACTATGTACTCCTTTGACTTCAGTTTGTTATTTGACCATTCTTGATCTGTCTTATATGTTAAAGGAATACTATAGCGTTAGGAATACAAATCTTTAATCATAATGCTATAGTGTCCCTGTTGCTACTCCATCCCCCTTTTTTGCCAACTACTTGCAGTATAAGAGTAATAAAATAAAGTTTTATTTACCTTTTTTTTTAGTACCGAGGCTCCCTCAGCACCACTTACTTCTCCGACTCCCACAACGTGACGGAGGAGGCATGGCCTCCTCTGCCGATGTCCAATCCAATTCTCCTCATAGAGAAGCATGTTAGGGGACCTAACATGCATGAGCTGCAATCACATTTAAAATCTCCCATGGAAAAGCATTGAATCAATCATGTGGCCAAGTTTTACTCTACGGGTGCCCAACTTTTTGGCTTCCCTGGGCTGCATTTAGTGAAGAGGAATTGTCTTGGGCCACACATCAAATATATAATATAGTTAATGTATATAAGTAATAAAACTTTAAAAGCCCTTTTCT